GATAACGGTTTTAATTGCCCAAAACTCTCTTGATTTGGGACAAACCCAAATAGGAGTTCTTTGAGGAGGTAAAGTGCTATGGATAAAGGGGAACCATTCGATGTACTGTACTTAGAATGGATTTGATAAAGTGTACATCAAAAGTTATTGTGGAAAGTAAAAGCTCATGGTGTTGGGATAACATATCGGTGTAGATAGAAAATTGGCTGGCGAACATAAAGCAGAGATCAGGTGCAAATTGGTCTTTGTCAGGTTGTAGCATGCAATGTTATTCGAGGAGGGAGAAAGCGGGAAACTACCAGCCAACTTGTCTAGCTTCAGTGGTGGGGAACTATTGGAAGCATTTCTGAGGGATAGAATTAATCTGCACTTGGAGAGGCAGGAACTAATCAAGCTCACCTAGTTGAGCACTTTGATGAAGTAACAGGGCAGATTGTTGAAATAGATGAGCATTTTCACTTTAGGCAGCCATCAAAAAAGTGCAAGACAAGGCATCTTAAGATGGATGTCTACGGGATAAGGCAAAATTGGATACAGCAGCTTTTTTTTTTGTCATTTGTATAAACAATTTGGACGAGAATATAGGAAGCATGGTTGGTGAGTTTGTGGATAACACCAAAATTGGTGGTGAAATGGACAGGGGAAAAAAAATGGATGTTGATCAGCTGGGCCGATGGGCTGAGGGGTGGCAGATGAAGTTTAATTTAGATAAATGCAAGGTGTGCGCTTTGGTAAGACAAACCAGGGCAGGACTTTTACAACTAATGGTAGGCAGCTGGGGAGTATTGTCTAACAGAGAGACCTAGGCGTTCAGGTACATTGTTCCTTGTAAGTGGTGAACATACAGCTAAAGTGAAGAATTAGGAAAACTAATGGAGTATGAGCCAAATTGAATACAGAGGTAGGGAGGTCATGCTTCAGTTCAAGCAGGGCATTGGTAAAACTGCATCTGAAGTACTGTGTACAGTATCACTCCTTATTTAATGAAGGATGTAAATGTATTGGAAGCAGTTCAGAGAAGGTTTTCTAGACTAATACCTGGAATAGGCAGGTTGTCCTTTGGACAGGCTAGGCCTGGAGTTTCAAAGGTCTGAAGGTGACTTGATTGAAACATAAAGTCTTGACAGGTCTTAGAGGTGGAAAGGATGCTTCTTTTTTAGGAGAAGCTAAAGCTAGGGGTCACTATTTTTAAAAGTTCATGTGCTGCCTGTTTAAAACTGAGATTAGGTGAATTATTTTCTCTGAGAGTGGTGAATCTTTACAATTCTCTCCCTGAAGAGGTGATGGAAGCAGAGCCTTTGAATATTTTTAAGTCCAAGACTGATAAATTCTTGTTCAGCAAGTGGGGTGGACAGGAATGTGATTTGAGGTTACAATCAGATCAGCAATGATCTTACTGAATGGAGGAGCAGGCTTGAAGGGCTGAATGATCCTGACTGATTTGAAAGGGAAAGTCAAAGGACAAGTTCAGATTAGTCACTGGGGCCTACAGAGTGTGTACGTCAGAGAGCAAGTTCAGTCCCCATTGAATGTTTCAGGTGTTATGTAGTGACGTGGATCTATAGATGAAATAGTCCAGCGGCTTTGTAAATGTGTCACCAAGCAATGATAAGTCTCAGTTTTATATCCAAATAAAGCATGAAATCAGCAGCAACTGTATTTGATAAAACAATATGACAGAAAAGTATGTGGTTTCATAATGATGAAGGGTGCATCTGAAGAGAGGAAGTCTGGATCCTGTAGTTCTGTGAGGGACATTGTTCAGATGCCAATTTGAAATCAAGATAGCAGCAGTTAATATTTAAAAACACTATCTTAGTGAATGTTAGATTTGGAACTCATGGACTCATAAGGCATCCAGAGCATTTGTTTCTTCGTAGTGTTCATTGTGTCTCCCTGACTCTGAGTCAGAAAGCTGTGAGTTCAAGCCCCATGTCAGAGACTTGAACAGTTGAAACACCACACTGTATGAGTCTAAGGCCAGGTGCTAGAAAATAGGATGAGAAAAGGTGGATGTTTGATCACTGGTGTGGGCATACTTGGCCTCTTTCCATGCTGTAAAAACACTGACTTTAGACAGATGCTGCAGTGCCATACGAAGAAGTGCTGCACTATTAAGATGCTTACTCCAGGTCTGCTCTTAGCAAAACCTCTATTTAATTACAGGAACACTTCCTTACTCATATTGTCCAACCTCTCCCCTGTAATAAAGGCTGCCATTCCAATTGCCTTTGTAATTGCTTACATACTTGCTTGTCAGTGTTCTCTGATTTATGTCCAAGGACATGTTAATCCTTTTGACTATCAATATACTCCGATCTTTCACCCTTTCAAAACTGTTCTGCTTTTCCATTCTTCCCACCAAAGTGGATAACCTTGCATGTGTTCCCACCTCATCCATCACTTTCTTGCCCATTTTACTTCACTTGTTCATATCCTTTGCATCTCCTTACAGTTTACTTTCCCACCTAACTGCATCATTAGCTAGACTATTGCACTCAGTCTCCTGATATTAAACCACTGATAGAAATTGTAAATAGCTGAGACCCATGCTGTGATCCTTACAGCATCGTACAAGTTGCAGGCTGCCAACCTGAAAATGAACATTTCATTCCAAGTCTATTTTTTTTTCGTCTTTCTGGCCTGAGCTTCAAAGTTGGCTGGTGTGAGTCATCTTTATCCTTCGAGCTGCTCCCAAACGCTGAAAGAAAATAGCTGATGAGTAAGTTCGGGAAGCTTAGTAAGAGTTGACATCCCCGGGACTTTGTAGCTGATAATGTAGCTGATGCTAAGCTCTGCAACTCCACCTGTTGGTATTACAAATCTACAGCTTGCTATCTGTATCCAAGCTGTGGTCAAGAGGATGATACTGATTAACTTGCACATTTTATGATAGATTGTGCTGCATGATGTGCCATTTGCAAGGGGCTCGTGATGCTTGCTGTCCAGTTATCTCGGGCACAAACCACACTTGTTACAAACCACTGATTATCAGCTTGTCAAATTTTGGAATTGGAGGTATATCAGTTTAACCCTTTGAGCTCGGGGTGGTTCCCACGTGTCATCCCGTTGATCTTTGCTGCGCGAGTCATGCTCAAACAACCCATGCTGAAGCTGAGAGAAGTATATACACCATTTGAAGTGATTCTGCTGTCGGAAATCATTAAATAATTCGGACTGCGCAAATAGCTACACCAGAAACTCATTCAAGATGATCAGCCAGGCTGACAGTGTGATGCATTTGCATATGCTCCATCTATAAATACTAAGGACTTAGTTTTATTTGGGCAGAAGGAGTTTGTACCTTTGCCATTAAAAAGAAAGGATCACGGGGACAGCCAGTTTCTGCTGCATCCAATCAGCACCCTCTCCTCATGCTATATACAATGGCATTCCTGGGGTACAGTGCTGATGGCCCAACCTCTGAACTAGGAGTAATAGAGATGTACAGCATGGACAGACTCTTCAGTACATCTTGTCCATGCCAACCAGATATCCTAAATTGATCCATTTGCCAGCATTTGGCTCATGTCCCTCTAAACCCTTCCAAATCATGTACTCCAGATGCATTTTTAAATGCTGTAATTGTACCAGCCTCCACCATTTCCTCTGGCAGCTCATTCCATACACGCACCACCATCTGTGTGAAAAAGTTGCCCCTTAGGTCCCTTTTATATCTTTCTCCTCTCACCTTAAACTTATGCCCTCTAGTTTTGGATCCTGTTTGTTCACCCCTATCTGTGCCCCTCTTGATTTTATAAACATCAAAAGGTCACTCCCCAGCCTTTGATGCTCCAGGGAAAATAGCCCCAGCCTATTCAGCCTCTCCCTGTAGCTCAAACCCTCCAACCCTGTCAACATCTTGTAATTCTTTTACACTGGGTTTGAGTTCCACCTGCTCCAGAGGAATGTAATAAGATTTCTGAACAGGTTGATGAGAAAATATCTACAATGATGTCCCTTTTCGCAAATTTCTTTCATCTGCCCTAGTTCTGATGTGGGCAAGATGAAAAACTTTTCAGTTTCTTGCCTCCTTTTAAGACATTTTAGGTTCCCACTTGATACACCTGATGTTGCAGCTCATGTCCGAGCCAATCTCCAATGTAGACTTGGCAATGAGATCTGAAAACCGCTGTACTCCAGGTTCCTGTTCTTGATTAATCTTCTAGCCTACCCCATTAACAGAAACTGCAGGCTAGATTTACTACTGAAGACAGTCAGTCTTCCATCTCAACTCTGTGAGATAATCACTGAGTAAATAGCAGGTTCTTCATAAGTTGCAGGCATCTGCACAGTCTTTCTGTGCCATTAAGTTAACAGAATGATGCAGCGCAGAAAGACACCATTCAGCCTTGTGTCTTTCACCAATTCACCTTTAGTGATATCCCTTCACAAGCTTAAGCTGTGCCAAGCTCTGCCTCGAGTGTGATTGACCCCTAAGGCAAGAAAAGTTTGCTCTTCATGTTGGGAAGGTAGGTTTCTTAACAACGCTTGGAAACGCTAAAGAATGGTAACGTGTTTCTGCTCAAATCAAACATAGGAACGGAGCAAGGCTGTGCAACCCCTCGAGATAGAGATGGTTGGAGGAGGTTAAATGTTCGGTACACTCGAGCTGGTTGTACATGGGCCTGCTGGGTAGGTAAGTCCCATAAGAGGAGAGCAACACAGAAACAGGAGTGGGCCATTCAAGCCTTTGCGCATGTTCAAACATTGAACAAGATCAGTGCTGATCTTTGCCCTAAGTCATGGCGCCCCATTGCTTCACATTCTTGGGGCCAATAATTAATTAATTTCTGATTTTAAAATTATTATTTGAGCAAGCAACTTTTTTTTTGTGAAAGGAAGTTTGATACTAATAAGAGTCTACATGGGAGATGAAATGAGTGCATTGAGTTCATGGTGGGAGGATTATACAAGAGTTTGATTGAGTGGGATGAAGAGCTTGAGTTTTCTCCTTTTTTTTTCAGACGTCTGACATTGTTCAGCTCTGTGTTTGATAGGTGCGGATTTTCCTTACTGATATATTCACTGAACTGAAAGATGGTGTTGCCCTGATTGCCCTACTGGAGACCATCTCTGGAGAGAAGCTCAACAGACCAAACAGAGGCAGGATGAGAGTCCACTATCTGGAGAACAACAGCAGGGCCATTGCCTTCCTGAAAACCAAGGTAACAATACTTTGTACCTTCGCTGTACAGCATGGCATGTGAACCGGGAGGAGCATGATTGTTAGCTCTCAAGCAAACCTCCTGCCCGGAATGGTTGACACTTCATCCCCTTCAAACCAGCCATCCCAAATCTTAGGATGCTGGCTGTACACAACGTCCCTGAGATACTGGGTGTGCACAGTCTCTCGGTCCCTGAAATGTGGTTTTTAAACTTGGTCTGTTGCTTCTTTTTTGTGTTGTCAGATAAATGTGGAGCTGATTGGTCCTGAAAATATTGTGGATGGTGACCGCACCCTAATCCTGGGTCTGATATGGATGATTATCCTGCGCTTTCAGATTGCCTCCATCACTCTGGAAGAGGTAAGACACTCGTTCTTCCTGCTGTGAATGTCCTGCTGGCCATATATAAGCTGCATATACATATACATACACACATTTAACTATAAGCTAAATCCCAGGAAGAACTAACAAGGAATTGCTCATCTTAGAAATGGTATGTATATGTACAAGCTGCAGTAGCTGAAGCAAACAGCATTGATACATTCAAGGCAAAGTTGGTTAAATAGAAAAGAATGGTAGCATCTGCTCATACGGTGATACAAAAAGGAGGCTTGTTTGGAGCGAGCATAGACATTTCGCACCAAATAGCCAATTTTTGCGCTGTACAATTGATGTAATTTTATGTTACATGGGCACCGTTGCGATAGGATTTCCTCTATGAGCTGTACAAAGTAAAGCCAGTGCAGTTGGAGCTGGGGTTGCAGTGAGAGCTGGTGGTGTGGAGTTTGCTGCAAGGTTAACACCGCTGTCTGCGGCGTGCTCACTCCCACCTCCTTGAGACTGGGTTGGATTCACTGATTGATGCCCTGGGAGGTGTTGGGCTGCTTCTTAGTCTGTTCTTTACTTACCAACTTTCTCTGCTGTGCCAGGATGAGTCTGATAGCAGCAGTGCCAAACGTTCTGCCAAGGAGGCTCTGCTGATCTGGTGCCAGCGCAAGACAGCTGGATACGAGAACGTTGATGTCCAGGACTTCTCCTCCAGCTGGAAGGATGGATTGGCTTTCAATGCACTAATTCACGCTCACAGGTAAACACAGCCTTTGTTCAGTTGTTCAGGCTGGAAGGAATGTTGAACTACCACTCCTAGGGGGAAAACATTCAACAGAGAAGTGTGAGAGGTCACCTCCTTTTGGGCCATTGGGACAGTGTATGAAGCCCCACTTGGCCTTCATGTGCATTGGTGAATTGGGGAGCGTGGGGACTGTGTGCATAAACAGCTTGTCTCAATGTTATCTCAGGGAGAAGGGGAAGAAGCCGCTCGGCTTCTTGCTCCTTCTCATTACCAGTGACCTCCGTGAGAGACATCATGTGCTGGTTGAGGCAAGTGGGGAAGGAGGGGGGTGGTTTGGCTACAGTAGCTTACCGATGCTATGGTGTGGCATCTGAAGGGCAGCCAACTTCCTGTAACTGAGATGACACAGTGTGGAGCTGGAGGAACACAGCAGGCCAGGCAGCATCAGAGGAGCAGGAAAGCTGACGTTTCGGCTCGGGACCCTTCAGAAGTGTTCACTGTGTTATCTCTGACTCCAGCATCTGCAGTTCTTACTATCTCTTCCTGTAATTGAGCTCAGCTTCACTCCGCTCTCTGAGGTTCTAGAAATGGGGATACTCCTTCCTATAACACTGGCTGCCTGACTGGTGAGAAATCAACGCTTCCTGACCACTGGGGTCGTAGTTGGCTTTACAGGAGTTTTGCCTGAATGCTCATATACGGTAGCTCAGTGGTTAGCATTGCTGTCTCTCAGCGCCAGCGACCCGGTTTGATTCTAGCCTCAGGCGACTCTCTGTGTGGAGTTTGAACATTTTCCCTGTGTGTCTGCGTGGGTTTCCTTCCACAGTCCAAGGATGTGCAGGTTAAGTGGATTGTCCATGCTAAACTGTCCATAGTGTCCAGGGATGTGCAGGCTAGGTGAATTAGCCGTGGGAAATGTGGGGTTACAGGGATAGGGTAGTGGGGGTGGATCTGGGTGCAGTGCCTTTCGGAGGGCCAGTGTGGATGCTATGGGCCGAATGGCCTGCTTCCACACTGAAGAGATTGTATGATTCTTCTGGAGCTGGTTTCCAGAAAGATACAAAGTGCCAGATCTGCGGAGTTTCTCCAGCAATTTATGTGTTAGTTTCAGATTTCCACCATCCACAGATGTCAGATGTTTGTTCAGTGTCGTCCCATTGAATCTGAAGAATGTGAGGGAACAGAATAGAATATATTGTCACTTGTCTTTTAAAAAAATATTGTGAAATGTATTTAAGTCGCCGTACTCCCATGCCTATATTGATAACAGAAATCATATATTAAAAAAATTTAAGATGATGTCCATCTGTAGTTTGTACAACACTGAGATGGTGCAAGTGATCCAGGAGTGGACTCTCTGTCAGTGGTGGCCTTTTGAAAGAGGTAACTGCCAAGGACTGGGAAGTGCTCAACATATTCTTGACTCTCCGCATCACAGCATGCCCTCCTATCTAATTTTATACCGACAACAAATTCCGTCCCTTTCACCAAGTCATCACTATAAAATTAATATACATTAAAAATATGTTAATATAAATCACTAGGACAGATTCTTGTGGCACTTCATTAGTTACATTCTTCCAACTTGAAATAAGCGCATTAATCCTGACTCTCTGATTCTGTGTTAACCATTCTTCAACCTATATTAATACATCATCCCCAACACTGTGATCTCCTAGACTGTGCAATCATCTTTTATGTAGCACCCCATCAAATGCCAGCTGAAAATCCAAATACATTCCTTTTATTGGTTCCCTCTTATCATCTTGACTTTTTATTATCTTTAAACAACTCAAGCAAATTTTTCAAACATGATTTTCTCTTGACAAAACCATGTTGAGTCTGTTTGATTGTGTTGAGCTTTTCTAAATCTCCTACTATTTCTTCCTTAATAATAGACTCCAGCATTTTTCCAACTACAGATTTTAAGTTAACTGACCTATAGTTTTCTTCTATTTGCCTCCCTCCCTTCTTGG